ACACTAAGACTTATTGCCTGGTCCACACAAATACACTTCTATTGGCCTTTCCCCACTTTTTATCTAAAACTAAAAATAACTATAAGCAGTTTAGAAATTAGCTAATGCAGTCATAAATATCGTTTTAACTTTCCAACAGATGATATGTAACCCTGAAATGTTGTTCCCCTAAAGTGCAAACTGACATGTTGAGAAGGAAAGATTTTTTGATAAACAATACAGGCAAAGTTGAGGGCAGTTCAACTGGTTAAGAGAATGCTTGTGGGGGTGGGGGTGGGGGCTGAAATGTCAAAAGTGTGTGATCTAGGAGCTAGCAAGTTTTACTAGAGGTTTCAGGCTTATCTGGAAAGACTCAGGCTGCCACCTTTCATCGGGGTTGAGAGTTCTGCAACAAGGTCAAAGCTGCTCAGACTGTCTTAACTAGCAGAGTTATAAACAGATACGGGGATTTGTCAATAAGGTAACTAAAACATCAAAAATTATCTTTTTGCCTATAAATTTTAATGCAGACCTCATTCTTCTGGTATTTGATAATTCCACAATTTTCAAATGGTTTCTGATTCTAAGCCATGGGTCAGGGAGAAAGCGTTGCTGTCCTCCTTGTGCTAGAATTATCCACACCCCAATGCTGGGCTGGAATGTTTTATTTTCCTCTTAATTTGAAATCTGACTTTCCTACCTTATCAGGTTACTGCATGGCTCTCCAAATTCCCTATCTTTTATGAGTAATGTCCTCTAAAATCCCATATAACTCTCCAGATTAAAATTCTCCCTTCTTGAAATTCACCCTCCCTCTGTCTTCTGCTTTCTTCCAACTTTATAATCTTTCCTTTTTTGTTTCCTTCTCCAGCTTGGTTCCATCCCCCCTCCTACATGATCCCACAGTGAGTGATCTTCCCCACATGCCTCTCTGTTTTCCACACTGACCTGCTTCATCACCATTTTGTTGCCCACCTTGGGATCCATCTCCCCCTTGCTACTTTCGTACGGACCCTGTGACCTCTATGTTCCTCTCCCGCCACCATTTCAGCATTTCCTAGCTGAATTCCTCTTCCCTCTTAGTCACACCTTTCTCATAATTTACATCACATTTATCATCATCACTTTCGACTGCCCTGGCCTAGTTCTCTGTCTGCCATGACTTGGCAGTCCCCAGGGTTCTCTGAGCACACCCATGTCCTGTCTGTTCACAGTTCATTCCCTCTTGCTGCTGTCCTTGCTTCTGCCCTGAGGCTATCTTTGCAACCCACTCATCACACATGCTGGAGTCATCTTTATAAGGTCTAGTTTTGTCACATCTTTTCATCCAGCTTAAAAATTTTGTATTTCCCTACCAGAACTGAGTTCAGTGCTGAATCACCCAATAGTTAAATTTGTTCTTTTAGAGAATCAACAAAGTAAATGCATTGAAAGGAGAAGGGGAAAAGCTTTTAGAAATTACTTGAGCAGCATTAAGAAGCTAAAGCCACTTCCGCATGAGTTCAATTCCTGCCTGCCCCGGAGGTGACCACATGGCATGGCAGACCTCTCCTGACCCGCCCACTGCTCCCCTCAGCAGTGTACTTCATCTATTTGCCTGTTCTGTTCCCCACTCTGTCTTCAGTGAAGCCTCTCGCCGCCCCTGAGCCTCTGGCCTGTACCCCAGTTCTGTATGCACAAATAAATCTTTTTTAAAAAATTACTTGATATTGGATATTGTTTAAAAGGATTGATCATTGTCACGGGAAAGAAATCATAACTTTGTTAGACTTCACAATAATTTCACCATGCAGTTAATACATAGATTATGTGCATATGCATATTATCAAGTAAAATTAAATTAATTCTAAATAATAAGATGATTTTAACTTAGCATTCTCAGGGTATGTAAAAGTTTTGTTTGAGTGCTGGTAAGTGCACACTCACACTCTAAGTTTCAATGTTAACATAAATTCCGACATTTCCTATCTCAGTGGCCAAAAGCTGTACGGTCCTACACTCCTCGAACTTTCTTCCCCACTTCATTGTCATGTGCCTACCCCTCTTTGACTAAGCTTCTCATCTATCAATATTCAGTTTCTAATTTGTCTTCACCTTTTCAGGCTCAGCCCAGGTTTTGGTCCTGCCCTGGAAAATTCTGAGTCCCCTGGTTGACAGTTATTTCTTCTTCTGAATTCATGAGAACATATTTTCCTTTCTTCATGGCCCTTAACACTTGCAATCTTCTGTGACAGGACTGAATAGTCCTTCCTTCTCCTGCTAAAAGGTATACTCATAAAAGGCTAGCACCTCACCTGATTCACTGCTAAGTTTTCTAGCTTGTCATAGCCAGTCCTGAACTCAGGAGGCACTCAGTAGTTTATGGTTCAGTAAGTGACTGAATGAGCTGGTTAGACCTATTTTAAAAATGTTTGTGTTTAAAGAATGTTTGTTTGTGTGTGGCTGCTGTAGAAAATAATATTGGTGATTCCTCAAAAAATTACACAATTCCCAAATGATCCTGAATTTCCTTCTGAAAACATACTCAAGGTAAAAGAGGGACTTCAACAGGTATTAGTACAGCCATGTTCATATCAGCATTATTTACAAAAGCAAAAAGGTGAAAATAACCCAGTGCCTATTGACAGATAAAAAGAAAAACATGTGATATATAGACAAAATATAATATTATTCATTATAAATAGAATATTATCCATTTTAAAATGAAGACATTATACCAGTCACAAAGGGACAAATACTGTGTGGATTCCATGTATTGACAGTACAGAAAGGAGTCAAATTCATAACACACCAAGTAGAAGGACAGGAACTGGGGAGGAGGGAAAGTAAGGCATTTAGTGAGTGCAAGGCTTAAATTGAGGAAGATGAAAAAATCCTGGAAATGGGTGGTGGTGATGGTTGCACAACAATGTGAATGTACTTAATGCCACAGAACTATACAGTTAAAGTAGTAAATTTTGTGCTATGTATATCTTGCCACAATAAAAGAAGTTCAGGGTAAGAATGCTTATGTTTCTTTAGATGAAAGGACTTTGCTGCTAGTGAAGTTGTGTGTTGATTGGGAACTGGAACTGGTCCACTGCGGATTCACTGAAACTCAAAACTTCTTGGCACATTTTCGTGTTCTTTGGCACATTGACATTCATGCTTGTTGCCAGATTTATACAAAATTTTTAGTTGGAAAGAAACATACCATGATAAAATGTTGTGTAAATAAATAATCATATAGTGATTTGCATATTTTACTGATAGTTTCCATTTCTCCCTTCCTGTCTTCATTTTAAATTTTTGATTTAAATCTTTAAATGTTTATCCTATTGCTAAAATGTTCAAAATATCTATTAATTTCTGATTATTAAATTCATATGTGCTTATTGTAAAATATTCAAACATTATTTAAAAAGTGTATTGCTTAGGAAATGAAAGTTTCCCAGGAGCACAAGTGATTACTTTCATTAACAATTTGGAGTGTGTGAGAATCTTGTATGAATATAAATGTCATTGGTAATAAAAATATTGTTATACTTACATGTATTATATCACCAATGGCACTTTTTAATTAAAAGTTCTTTTGTGTATCTTTATTTGCCTAGATATACATCTCTGTATATTTTTAAGCTACTACTCAATGTCCCATCGTGACGTCACATCTTAATTTAACCCATATTCCAGTTGGTGGGGAGTATTTCACAACTACAGAGGCTCTTGAGACTTGTTGAGATGAGCAATAATATTCACATTTTCTTATGTGTGTGCTCGAGTTTATTTCTGAATGCTAGACGTAGAATAGTAGGATCAAATTAAAAACACATTTTCACTTCAATAGATGACTATGCATTTTAAGTCTACTTTGACTGAACTTTAACATCCTGATCTCCTTCGTAAAGTCATTGACTGTGTATAGAAGCTGAATAGCTTAAAAAATATCCAGATTCCTAAAATTGCAGTGGAATTTTCCTAGCCCCAGATTCACTTTGGTTATCAGGGTCACAAAATAGTACCATGGAAATGCCCACACCTGAGCCAATGAATTCTCTAAACTCCAAGATTCAGGTTGTGTAGCAGGGTAAAAAAGGAAGTTTGGGAGTATAAATGGGCAACTGCTCTCTATCCCTAGAATATCTACTTTCCACACTTCTTTAGATATTTACTCACCCTACCTGTTCCAACAAATAACAAACTCATTGTCAAAATTTCATACATCACTTACTAGCATTATAACGTCACTACCCACAACAAAACCCACCTGAAATTTGGTGAGTGTTCTGACTCTGATAATTATAATGTATGTCAACTTCCAGAGGTGCACTTTTGTTGTGTCTTGGTAAATTATACATGGGCCCTCATTTTTCCATTTCATCTTAGGTCATGTAGTCTATAATTGTTATTTCCTAATTTTGAAAAGAATCTTATAAATAATAAGCAGTTAAATAGCTATTGCTGGTTCTGTATTTTTCTAAGCAAGTCCATGGGAATAAAAACTTCTTCTTTTCCACCAAAAATTCCCACGGTGTAAGTTTGTTAGTAATATATGAAAAGCAAAGACACTGTTACTTTGCAAAAAGCAAGGGAAGTATGTTTGTTGACTTATTCACTCATATGACATTTATTGAAATTTTCAGTAAGTCAAGAACATTAGGGTGGACAAAAAGGGAATCCCCTATGATAATGTATAGTCTATATCCTAATACCTCCACTTCCAATTGTGATATTAGGTATTTTCTGTAAATATGGAAAACCTAACAGATATGAATTTTTCTTGTTTGAAGGACATTTACCAATAATTACTTAAAGAACCAATTACCCTGCCTCATAGAGAATTGAAGACTTGTTTTAGATGTATACATACACACACATATTTTTTTCTCTTTGATTAAAAATTATTTACACATCTGTGCCCAGGATTAAGGATAATGAAATTCAACCACAAAAATGATTAAATAATATATAATTGTAGTGTTGGAATTTATCAGTTTAGAGTGGTTGCCTCCATATTCACCTTTCTTTTGATCTTCTTGTAGACGTTATTGTTATTGACTGTAAATGTCTCAGTATTTTTGCTCAGTGGAATGTGGCTTGACAGATTAATTATATGTTATCAGGCAGTTGAAGATCAACTAAAGATATGTGGCCACAAAAGGGATGCTGATGTCTTTGAGCTCTTCCTTTCTCAAAAGTAAGTATATTTTATGTAAGAAATAGAAGAATATCATGTTATAATGCTTCATAGGTTGAAATAATTTTTTCCATAGTTTCCCTCCTTAGGACTGCATAAAAAAAGGAACACATTCTAGTCACTTTACCACTCATTGGGGTACACAGTCTCTCTTGGAGAGACAACATATCCACAGCAAAGGGCATGGAGTCAGCTCTATCTCTTTCATCTGGGTAATCCTGAGCATTCCACAATAACCTCCCTGTTAGGGTTGTCAGGAGTAGCAAATAAAAAAATAGAATGTCCAGTTACATGTGAATTTCTGAGAAACAAGTGATTATAATAGTTTTAAGTACAAGTATATACCACATAACATTGGAACACTTGTTGTTTCTCGGTAACTAGATATTTTAATCTGGAGACCATATTTCCTGCCTATAATTATGCTTCACAGGATTGTCGTGGAGATTAGGTAAATTAGTAAAAGATAGAAGAGGGTCTGGTATACACAGTAAGCACTGAATGAGCATTATTACAGTTAATATTATTATAATTATTAGAAAAATAATGACTCCCAATGCTCCTCTACAAGAGGAATAACCCTATTACACTATAATCCTTATGTAACAACACCTATACTTATTTATTTTACTAGCAAATAGGAAAATCTTTTCCTTATGTAGCATCCCCTTTGATTCTCTAGCTCACCAAGGTGGTAGCAAAGTGGGTCTTCTACAAAGCAACCACAGTGCCTAAGATAGAATCAGGTACTGTGAAGGTGGAAAAGGAAGAGGAAGTTATAGTTGGGTTGAGTTCTGACACCACAGTTTTCATAGGTGTAGCAACAATTTACACTTTAATAACAATGATCCTACTCTTTCCTCACCTGTTCTTGATTTTTTTTTTAAAGATTTATTTATTTGTACATACAGAATTGGGGTACAGGCCAGAGGCTCAGGGGCGGCGAGAGGCTTCACCAGAGACAGAGTGGGGAGCAGAACAGGCAGATCGACGAAGTACACTGCTGAGGGGAGCAGTGGGCGGGTCAGGAGAGGTCTGCCGCGCCATGTGGTCACCTCTGGGGCAGGCGGGAATCGAACTCATGTGGATGTGGCTTTAGCTTCTCAGTGCAGTGCTTTAACCCACTGCGCCACCAGGGAGGGCCCTGTTCTTGATTTTTAATCTCTGAATTTTATATATCATTCTAATAGATTGAGATAGATTTCTGCTCCTATGTAATCTTTGAAACCCCACTAAAAAAGGAAATCTTTTCTTTTTAAACAAGTTATTTGTTATTCATAAATATCAAGTTTATCAAAGTAGAGAAAAATATGTATCTGTATTGGTCATGAATCTCCTCATAGTAAGGGAAGAAGTTGCTGCCCAACTTAACCATTTTTAAAATTATAATTTTAGAAGAGGTATGTTCTGAAGCTTGAAATTATACTTTTCAACTTTCCATAGATTAGTTTTACAATACTAACAAATTTTAATATAGTCAAAATATTGCATACCTAAGTTTTCTTTTGATTTTAACAACTGTATGCTGTTACTCACAAAGATAGGTAGATTATAATAGGAAAATCTTTAAAACACCAGGAATAAATTAGAAATACTGACCTTCAGCCAGTTGGTAATAAGTGGTTTCCCATGTGAAAAACAAACAATTTATATTTTTAAAAATGTATCACCATTTAATACATGTGGAACAAACAAAAAAAATGTTTTATAGTCCAGATACCAATAAACCAGGTAAACTGGAATATTTGCCCAAGTTTCATATTGCCTTTGCAAAATGGAAGGCATATTATTGATATGTTTTTGAATAATCAGAGAACTTATGCTGTACAACAGGATGCACATATTGTGAACAGAATCATTGCCATCATTAGTAGAATTTTCTCTTCTCCACCACTGACTTCACCTAACAGCCATGTGCAGAATCTACCTTTCTGACTTGAGTTAAAGTAACTTTAAAAGTGAATCACTTTAGGTCCTCCCTGGTGGCACAGCGGGATAGGATGCAGCACTGCAAGCTAGTGGCAGTGAGAGTCCCTGGCCCCACAGGTGACTCACATGGCATGACAGACCTCTCCTGAGGTCTGCTGCTCCCCTCAGCAGTGTACTTCATCAATATGCCTGTTCTGCTCCCCACTCTGTCTCTGGTGAAGCTCTTACCACCTCTGGCCTGTACCCTAGTTCTGTATGAATAAATAAACCTTAAGAAAAAAAAAAAGTGAATCACTTTAAGTTGGTACATTGTCCTCTCTGCTCTCCATGAGTGCTGAGGGCCATTCCTTAGGTGGGCAGGCCTATCCCTGCACCACCCCATATCCTGAAGCCTGGGTAGGTGGGGTGAAGAGGAAGAGCAGAGGTGGAAACTATTTCCCAGTAATAGAGATGCATTTAAGAGTTAACAAATAGACCCTCCCTGGGTTAAAGCGCAGCACTGCAAGCCAGCCACAGCCACTTCAGTGCAAGTTGGATCTCAGGCCCTGAAGGTGACCCACAAGGAGTGGCAGACCTCTGCAGTCTCGCCCACTGCTCTCCTCAGCAGTGTACTTCCTCTATCTGCCTGTTCTGCTCCCCACTCTGTCTCTAGTGAAGCCTCTCACTGTCCCTGCACCTCTGGTTTGTACCTCAGTTCTGTAAGCATAAATAAGTAAATCTTAAAAAAAAAAAAAAGTAGCAAGGCTATTTCAAGCAATTGAATTGGCCTCTGGGAAGCGGCAGCCCAACATAAAGACTACAAAGGTCTCAGACTGGGGGAGAAACTGTGTCCCCACTCTGTCTCTAGTGAAGCCTCTCACTGTCCCTGCACCTCTGGTTTGTACCTCAGTTCTGTAAGCATAAATAAGTAAATCTTTAAAAAAAAAAAAAAAGTAGCAAGGCTATTTCAAGCAATTGAATTGGCCTCTGGGAAGCGGCAGCCCAACATAAAGACTACAAAGGTCTCAGACTGGGGGAGAAACTGTGTCCTGAGTTTCAACCTGTTCCCAGAGATTTCTCGGAGAAAGTATTTCTGTACCTAAACTCACAGCTTACAAACCCAGAACGAAATCCCAGCTCAGTAGGAAGCCTAGCTCCAAAGTAAAAAGTCACATAACCACAGCGAAGCAACCATTCGGGAAGTTTGAGGGAACTCGCTTGAAGCTAGGTTTAAGATCAACCCTGCAACATCCAGGAAATTGGTAGGCCCTAGGCCAGAGAACGCTGTCGCAGGGCATATGGGAATCCACACGGGACCGAGAACTTAGCTGAGAAGGAGGGAGTAGCCGCCAACCTAGCCTGCGCCAGCAGCAACAGGCACACACAAGACAAGGCCTAGAAACCTACAAGCTGCGGAAATGCTTTCCACCATAGAATTCACACAGAGAGAAACCCCAAGAGAGTGAGCGCCATGGGAAGGCCTGAAGCCAGAATTCATTCCCTACACCCATGGTGAGGAGGTGGGGCTGGGCCTTCCCTCTTGGCTCACTTGCCACTTCCTTCCTGTGAGGACTCTACCCGAGCACAGGTCCAATGGGCCCAGCCACTCCTGGCGGGCTTCTGGGACCGCTCCCTTCAGGCCGCTTCAGCTCTAACCTAGCACGGGTGTAGAACGCCTGACTTCCCTCCTTATTTGAGTCTAGAACACAGGGCTCTATCCATTGTGGCTCTCACTTCATACCACCCCAGAAAACTCACCGAGACCATGCTTGCGTTGGAACAGGAACCGCGCACTGCTCATGGTCCAGGGAGCTCAGGACGGAACTACCGCCCTCCCGCCGGCCTGCCAGCCCGCGGGGTCTTTGCTTAATTTGACCCGCCACGAGATCTACAAATCAAAAGCCCAGGGCGTGTTGATGGGTTGGAGGTTTCCCAGGTGCGGCTGTGTTCTATGCTAGCAAAAATTCCTCACAGGGGAGAACGCCAATGATTTTTGAACCCCCGCACATAAATGTGGTAAATGGACACAATATATTCACAGAAAGGGGGTCTGGGGATAGAAATGCCAGTGTGACCTCTGGTTTTCTACGGAGCTGGTGTTTCCCAAACACATGAGGTGACTGGTTTTCAAATCAAGCCCACTGTTCCCTTAACCGCAAAGAGTTTGTACTGCTCCCACCCTTACTAAAAAATGAATTCACGTGTATAATGTCCAAAATCAACAGATGGCCTGTTTTGTAAAGGATAATTAGAAAAAAGTAATCTGTGATAGAGTAAAAGAAAAGTGGATTATTTACATTCTCCCATAACTGAAAATCCAGTGTGGGTATTAGTTGCACAACAAAATTGATGGAGTAATTTGACACAGTTGATATTTTACAATATTAATGTATTTAGTAACTTTTCTGGGAACTCTTTGGGGAAAATCCTGTAAGTGGAGTTTAAGTTTTCTCTGCTACCCTGTAATTGTTAGAAGGCAGTGAGGGGGCATCCCCTTACCCTCAAACTTGCCCTCTCTAAATAAGTTCTGCCATCAAGACAAAACATACAGGACCTTTGATGGAAAGGAGCTTTAATACAATTAGATTGTGATACAGAAAAAGATAAAGAATAGAGGTTCAATGGGTTAAAATGCAGCATTATGAAGCTTTTCACAGCCATTGTAACATGAGTTCAATCCCTAGCTAGGGAGGTGACCCTCCTGTCTTGCGTGCTGCTCCCCTCAGCAGTGTATTTCAATCTGCCGGTTCTGTTCCCCACTCTGTTTCTGATGAATCCTTGTACCACCACCCCCTTGCACCTCTGGCTTATATATACCCCAGTTCTTGTATGCATCAATAAATAAATGTTGTTCTTTGAGTAACATAATAGTTTATTTTTACATCATTTTGTGCATTTTTTTCATATCAGTTGTAATCCCTTTGGGCTTCCTATCACCTAGTCACCCATGTGCCATCACCATAGTCCAGTGCATTTCCTTCCCTCCACTATTTTTGATCCCATTCCCCACTCCACCCCCATAAAATGTCTCTGGTATATAGCTATTCATTATTATTATTTAGATAAATGTTTTTTTAAAAAAATCAAGAATGTGAGACAGTCTAGCAGACAATTGTCCTGATCTCTTCTAAAAGTTATTGTTAGGGAGGGGAGAAGGAAGGAAGATGAATCATCTATAATTAAGAAGAGTAAAATCTTATCCAAACTGCAAATGCAACTAGTGAACATTGATGGTATTCTGAATTTAAAGAACTATAAAAGAAATGTAGGGGCAACCAGTAAAATTTGAATGTGAATGACATATAAGATGATATTAATTGAATTGATTTTAATTTTGTAAAATTAAAATGTAATGATTTGGGAATAAGCATGCTGAAGTGCTTAGGATTTAGAGACCTGCAATAAGTCTGCAACTACTTTCAAACAATTCACCAAAAAAGTTTTCAGTCAATAAATAAATATACAGATAGAATCAGCAAAAGTGTGGCAAATGTTAAAGATAATAAAGATTATCCCAGTGTTTGTTGTACTACTCACTTCATGTTTAAAATTTTTCAATATAAATGGGTAAGAAAGATACCTTTTTTAAAAACAATGCTTAATGTTTTAAAAAGTATGCTTATTTTCATTAAAAATTTGAAAAATTTAAGTGCTTCAGTGTTCCATAGTTAATTATGAGATGATATTAGCATAAATGAGTTCATATATTCATATTAATATATATATATATTCATTAGCATTAGTGTTTTTAAAATACTTAGAAAATTGCCTGGCACTTTGTGTTTATAAGTGCCTGGCAAAGAGACACCTGGGCTCACAATCTCTACCCTAAGAAAGACATCTGAAAACTCTAACCACCGCAAGGGTCAATTATCCTCAGAGGTTCTGTCCTCTCTCTACACCATGTCTGCCCATTTGTTGTGTCACCTGCCTCAGCAACAAAGCCCAAACTGATCCAGGGCAGCAAGGGGCACTAACCTGGCCAGTGGCACTGCCCCAACAGTTTAGTTGTCAATAAGAGCACTTACTTAACAAACAAGGGAAAACAGAGTCGCTGAGGCAACAAACAAATGTCTGTTTACCTCACTTGAAGCAGTGTCCACACTTTAAAGTCCTAAACATAAAGGCTCCCAAGATGGAGTCTTCCCATCAACCAGGACATGGAGCTTCTCTGCCAAACAAAAAGCCACGCCCCCAAATGAAGTCCCCCGGCCATTGAGGGCTTGTGGTACCCAAATTTTAGGCCAGGACCCAATTCATGAAGATATCAGAAGGCAAAACAGAAGATACTCACTGGAGCTGCCAAGATGCCCCAGAACAACACCAGACAAGCAACACTCAAAACAGCAGCTGCAGCAGACAAATGACCCTACAAACAGCCCACACTCACATGGTTCAGCAAGGCCTTTAAGAGCCTTCAAAAAGATCAGCATGATGGGGGCAGAAGTGGCTGACCCCAGAATAGCTGTTCCAAAACTGCTCAGATGCCCAATGCTCAATCCTGGGGGCTGCTTCTTCAGTCCCTTACTTTTCTTATGTCTCCACCTCACTGATATTTTATTCATATTTCTCCTGGGGCTTTCCCTCTTCACAAGGACCTCCCTATGGGGGTACCACCTGCAACAGTCTTTGGCTTCAGCCCTGTTACAAAACCATTTCGACAGCTAATTCTCAGTTTCAAAAAGGATGTAATTAATAAGTGGCAAAGGGAAAATAAAACACTTGCTCAGTTTTTATGTTTTGGTGAGACAATTTTCATGTCTTAAATCCAGACTTGATAAGATGTCCTGAATAAGGACAACCCCAAAGAAAGAATCCTATAGAATCCTCTTGAATGAGGAAACAGTGGAGTTTCCATATTTACTTGAAAGTCCAGTGTCTTCTGCACTTTTTGGCCTACTGCCTCTTCATAATAAAAAAATTTTATGCGGGTGAAGAGGGGAATAGAATCAAAACAGTATGGTAGGAGAGCACAGGACTATGGTGATGGCATGTAAGTGATTTGGTGATAGGAAGTCCATGGGGATTACAACTGAGATGAAAAAATGTACAAAATGAAGAATGATGTAAAATAAATAATAATAAATACACTAAAAAAATAAACTGAAAAAAATGAGGTCCCAATAAATTCAGACAAAATGAGGTACAAATCCCTACTAATGTGATAAAGTACTATCCTTTAAGTATTTGCTTTAACTAACTAAAAATCAAACTATAATAATGGAATTTTAGAAATTGGTATGTAAGCATGCCAACAATTTGAGAGGATAAAGATAGAGATTTTTCCAGTTACTCCAAAATCATAGTAACTACATGACCAGCCTACCCATGGGTGAATTCGTTGTTGCTAATATCTTTCCTCTTTCTTTCTAGGGAACTAACAGAGGTCATTGATCTTTCTAGGTTCAAAAAATTAAAATACTTATGGCTACATCATAACAAGGTAGTATTATAATTTAAAGTATTATATTTTACTTTTAAATGACTATAATTAAATTGATATATTCATATTTTAATGGTGCCAATCTTTAAAAGTATTAAGAATTCATACCGCTATTCAATTTTACATAAGAACTATGTATATATAAACATATATAACATGTGATATATATATTCTCTTTATATGCATATATATATAAAACTGATATGTTTGCTAGTACAATTTGTGAGGTGTTATCAGACTACATCTTTATTTTTGTTTCCTAAATTCTGTCAAAACTGCTCAGTGGAGACCACACTTTCCCAGATTTCTGGAGGAATACTTGGGCACTCTCATCGCTTTTCCCATCTCGATAGATAATGCAAAATCTTACCCTTCATTTGTGTCATAGTCATAATCCCAGTTCAGAAATAACTTACCAAAGGAATATAATAAACTTTCAGCCTCTAATCATCCAGCCTCATCGTTCCTCCCTTTTCCAGCTAAAGCCACTGTCCTCTTTATTGTCTAGGTGGTTACTTGCCTCCACGCCAGCCTTCTCCAGGGTCAGCATGGAATGGAGAGCTATGGAATTAGAGAAAAAGCAAGAGAGAAACAAAGTTATTACTTGATTTTGACTCTCTGGTGCTTAGTAATGCTCCAAATTGACTTTTTTTTTTATCTCCTAATGGGTTATCCAGATACTCCCTTTCTAGGTTTCTCCAAGTCTAACTCCTTTTAGGAATTAGTGGTTAGGTCACAACTAACTTCCTTTTCCCTTTTATCCCATGACATTTGCAATAAGGTTCTCCTAGCTTTGGCAAACTACCCTCTTAGACAAAACCCCGTATCAAATGCCATAGGTCAATGTGCCCACAGAACTCTTCCCAGAACTCACATACTTTTGTCCTGGTGTCAAAGGTCAAGGGGACTGGTCACCTCCCAGGTGCTACCCAAGCTGACCTAGTTTTTTTAGGAAGTGCCAGGCAAATGGTCACCATATCACCAACTGCAGAGAGCATTGCTCCTGTTCACTGCCTGTGACCCTTGAAGTTGCTCTTTAAGACTAGGGCTTGGGGCAGTACCAGGACCGTGGGAGCGACATGTGGCTCCCAGCTCTCTGACGAGGACTAAAGTAAAATTTCAGACCCAAGCATTATTGGATAATTAGCTCCTCAGTAAGTTATTCCCACCTCTCAAGATTTTTGACTTTCCAGTTTCTGTATTTTGTTCCAATCGTGACATTTTGAATTTTAACTTTCCATTTCCCATAATAACTGATTAAAAATAATAATTTGAGCTTGTAGCAGTAGTCTTGTCAAGTAGTAGCCCATACTCAGCAAGCTGAATCTTTAAACACCTATGTTTATAAAAATAATTCAATATTCCATTACATTGTCTGAGTGGAAAATAAAATGCTTCTAGTGTGAAGTGTAAGCGTAAGTCTCATAAGCTTAAAATAATTTCTTAGAGAAAAACACTAATACCTCTAAGGACCAGGAAACAAACAACTGAAATAGAAAGTTCACGCACCACTGGAGGGCATACAAGTTCAAACCTCTGTTAAACACACTGCCAAAAATTATCCTGGGTCACAGTGTACGACCTCTCATTAGAAAAGGATGGAAATCATCAAGTATGGCAAAAGTGACTAATCTTTGTTTTTCATGCGTGCTATGCATGGTTTTCAGTTTTGAAGGAAAAACATGTACAGATGTTGGCAAGATGTCGAAAGGGAGAGGTAAAATTAAGGATTTTGTAATTTTTTTTTTCCTGGTTGCTGGATACCTCATTGAATATTTACACAGTTGACTTACAGATACATTATGGACATAGGAAGGCATCTCATATGTTATCAGCTATTTTAATTTCTTTTGTTCTTGAAGGTGGTTGATGGGAAAGAAATACTCCAGGGACTAGATTTGCTAATGCAATGTTATTTATGTTCATCTGTATCACCAACATTTAACAGACATTTGTTCCCTAACAGACATATTTAGCATATATAACACTTAAAGGATATTATAACAAAAAGAAGTTTTACTAGTCATGGGATAAAGTGTGTAAACTAATGAACTTTTTGCTAATAATAAATAATTGGCCAATTACTAACTCCTTCAGTATATTTATTTTATGAAGAATTGAAATATTACTCCATACCTGGGATTCTAGTGGCATATTAATAAGGATAGTACTTCAATAAAATTATAAATCTTGATTGGCTTTCATCAAAATCTAGATTACATTGGGTTGACCACTAAGAAGCTACCCTATCAATACAGAAGCTATATGGATATTTATAGTGAAAAGCATCACACTGACATGAAAGTAGAAATATTTAGAATTATAACATTGTTGTTAGCCATGATCTGAATATTGACCAACATTGTTTATATATTACTGAATATCTTAGACTGTCCTCTATTTAGGAATAACTGAGGCACAAATAGTGAAATAAAATAAATTCATTTTATTTTTGTTTATCCATTTATTCAATCATGATATTTGTTGATTCGCAGGTAATAGATTTTTTTTTTTGTTCGTCCCACCAATCTCCATTTTCTCTTTTTACCTATGCAACAGAGTCTGGGTTTGGGTTTACGTATGTAATTCTCCTTTGTCATTTAGTAGTCCCACCTGCAGAACCAAGAGATGAATCCTGAGCTAGATCAATCAGAATAATCTCACCTTTCTAGTTAATGGTTAGTCAATGATTGCATATAACTCAATTGTGGTAATATACACATAAAAGGACATCTGCTAGGGGGCTTATGTAGGAAAAGTCTCCTTATTCCTAAAAGAGTGTTCTAGAAGAGAGCTGCTTTGATTACTATGGGATGTCTACTTTGGGACCCATCCCACCAACCTGAGATGTATCCAAAACCTAGAGAAAGGCAGAGTCCAGAGAATGAGTGAGACACTAAGACTGAGTCTCTGGTAACTACTGTGTTTCTTGGTAGTGAGACAAACATTCTATTTACGTGCCAATTTGAATTGAGTATAGAAGTTCCTTGGAGCCAAAAACATTTTATCTGATGTGGCAAATTCTGTACTTACATTAGGCTCCTGGCAGATTATAATAATAAATATGAAGCTCTGGTAATAAAATTAGGAAGGGCAGAGGAGTGGCTGTGCTCATTGTGAGGGTGTTGCATTTGCTAACTAACTGTGTGGAGTGAAAGGAGAGTGGGAGACTTTGGAGGCACTGAAACTGTGTGGTGTGTTTGGATTTGAACATGATAGAAGGGTATATCCTTCTCCCAATTACATTCCAGTGGATGATAAAACGGGAGCTTTTGGTCTTACCCTGCTCTAGTAAATCAAATAAGTGTAAGGACCTTTTTCTAAGGACCTCCAATGCTCCAATTTTTCACTGTGTTTTCTGAGGTCTTGTCTTTTCATAAAACATAAATATTCACAAGTTCTCTACCTACACCCTTTCCTTGGTCTTGTGCTACTTCCTCTTGATATAATTAGTGAGAATTAGCTGCTCTTGGTTACATATTAATTGAGGCCTTGTAAGTCTTTCTTCTTTGTCTCAATATATAGTGAGCCTAGCTGAGAGAATTTTAGGATCACACCTCATCCTTTTCAATCTTTCATGAAGAGCTGTGTCTGTTCAGACTAGTAATCTAACTGATTTGCCTTTTATACTGCAATTTCAAATGGTGCATATATCTGATCTCTGTGTTTGGGCACTTTGCCTGAAAAGCGCTTATGAATGTTTAGAGGTGAGCTCCTATTATTTGAATCTTTTTTATTTTTGGAAATACTAGCAGTATTTTGATATATTTCATTTGTCTCAGGTTAGGATAAACATTTAAAGAAAAACCTGTATAATTCCTCACCAAACAATTGTCCAAAAATGGAATCTGAGTTTTCTCTCATATAGCAAAATCAAAGAATTGACAAATTTTACAAATTAAATTTAAATAAAAATACCTCTCCTGACATTGTCATTATTTATAAACATCTAAACAGCATCATCTAAAGAGTAATTGAGAGACTATTTTTTTTTTCTTGGCAGATATTTTTTATTTATTTATTTATTTTAGTACAAAAGTTTATTTTTACATCATTTTGTACATTTTTTTTCCATCTCAATTGTAATCCCCGCGGGTTTCCCATCAGCAAGTCACCCGTATGCCATCACCATAATCCCGTGCATTTCCTTCCCCCACCCCCGTTTTTGATCCCATTCCCCACTCCACCCCCACAAAATGTCTCTGATATATGGTTGTTCATTATTTTTGTTATTTTCTCGCCTGGTCCATTATACTCCTGCTATGAGTGAAACCATCCGGTATTTTTCTTTCTCTTTCTGGCTTATCTCACTAAGCATGATCTTTTCCAGCTCCATCCAAGTTGCTGCAAAAGACATGTGTTTCTCTTTTTTGGTTGCCGAGTAATATTCCATTGTATATATGTACCACATCTTTTTTTTTTTATAATTTATTTATTTATTCATACAGAACTAGGGTACAGGCCAGAGATGCGGAGGGTGAGAGGATTCACCAGAGACAGAGTGGGGAACAGAACAGGCTGGCTGACGAAGTACACTGCTGAGGGGAGCAGTGGGCGGGTCAGGAGAGGTCTGCCACGCCATGTGGTCACCTCCGGGGCAGGCGGGGATTGAACTCATGCGGAAGTGGCTTTAGTTTCTCAGTGCAGTGCTTTAACCCGCTGCGCCACCAGGGAGGGCCAAGTACCACATGTTTTTTATCCAGTCATCTAGAGAGACTATTTTAAATACCTTTTTCAACAATTACTGACCAGTGAATGGTTAGTTTAAAATAAGCAAAATTTCTTTAAGAAAGATTCTGGGTTTCTTCTTCAAAGTCATTAAGATATGCTATTGTTTCTTATCTTCTGAACACAATGAAGATTTGTTAAACAGCACAAATTGATACATTTTAGGAAGGGATATTGATGTACAAAATTAGAAAATTACAATTTGAAAACTGAAATACTTATTTTATTTTCCTAGCTTATAGCTTAGCAAAATGTCTTTGGAGCTTAATTAT